CGCTAGTGACCGAATGAAGAAACGGTACGATACGCAAGCCGAAAAGGGTGTTTTAAGAAGAACGATAAAGTCTGGCTTTATAACCCCAAAAAGCGAAAAGGTTGTTCTCCCAAATTGCAGCAGTTTTGGGAAGGTCCATACCTCATTATGGAGAAGATCAATGATGTTATTTACCGAATAAGCAAGATTCCGAGAGGAAAGCCGATGATAGTACACCATAACCGGCTGGCGTCTTTCGAGGGTGACCACGACGTAGATGAAGAAGTGGAAGTAAACCAAGTCCAAGATGTGTCTGACCTCACGTTTGAGGAATTCATGGGTGCCTATGGAGGTACCGGTAAAGCAAGACATGGTGTTACCACTGAAGAAAGGCAAGATCTACTCGCGCTTCCCGATGACTACTCACTGGCCCTTACCATCCCGGCCAGTATCAAAGATGCACCAGGGTTGGCATCCGTCTTTCGAAGGAAGTTTGGTCGAGTTGCAGAACTTCAATGCCAAGTGCCAGCTCCTGGTAAAACCTTGAAACTTCAAGATGCATCACGTTACCTTTTCTACCTGGTAACAAAAGACACTGCCCGTGACCAACCTACCTACCGAGATGTATGGGAAGCCTTACTTCAGTTGAGAGAGCACGTACTAGAGTCCGACGTGCAAAAGTTAGCCATGCCAAAGTTGGAGTGCCGCCAATTAGATTGGAGGGTTATACGAAACATGGTGGAGGAAATCTTTAAAGACACCGAAGTCCAGGTGTTAGTCTGTTGCAATCCGCATAGTTACTGCTGCGGAGAGAAAACCGTCCCTTGTCATTTCTATACAACTGGAAGTTGTAAAAGAGGGTCCAGTTGCCGATATCAGCATGTCGTTCCAGTTCCAGTCCCGACAAGGTTCCAGGAGGAACCATCTTTTAAGAGGGGGGCAATGTTACGATTTTAAATGTTATGGCATATAGAACTGTAAATATTTTATGACTAATTCTTTTTTATTGATTCTCGTAATTTGTAGGTCAAAATATACCTGAGCTTAGCTGCCAGTTGTTTACCAGAAATCTCTAGACACTAATTTTAGTGAGTCATCCACGTCTCGAGGTTGAAAAACGAGTCGAGCGCCTTCACCAAAATACGAGACTATTCAAGAAGTCCGCCGAATTCTCTGGATGACACAGTTGTGTATATAAATGAAAGATTTTTATTTGGCAGGCAGTGATAAGAAGCTCGGCAACCGCGATATTTAAATGTAACGAAACATAAATTATTATTTGTAATATAAATTAGAATTAATAAAGACTTTAATAAATTCGTAATTAGTTATCGTGAGTTTTAATAAATTAGAATATAGACAATAAATTAGAATAAAGACAAATAAATTAGAACTATACAAACGTCGCAATAATTTTATTTTCTTGCATTTCTTGTGTGGAAAATAGATCCTTCGTGACATTCTTCAATTTAGTCTTTGTCCTGCAATTAGAAATTCTTTTATTCAAAGTTTGTGAAAGAGCAACTTTTTTTCTTTTCGTTTTCCAATTTTTTTTTGATGCGCTTTTCTTTCCGCAGCATTTTTAGCTGCTCTTATTTTTTCTTTTCTTCTTTTTTCTTGTAATATTGTTGCCACTGAGATGAAGTTGCTACGGCAGATACCTTATCCTTTATCACTTTACGCTTAGCAATATTTTCCTTAGGTGTAGGCATCGAGCAATAAGACAAAAGAGGGAATCTAATCGTTATAAAAAGGAGACCAAAAAAGTGGCCTCTGATGGCGGACACATCCGGAAATGCAAAGGCGCTAAATTTAAATTTTCCAACATTTGTTAACAATAGCTATAAAATATTTTTCAGACAAGAAAGTTTTAATTAAATATTAACGATAATAGTCTAAAAAGTGACATAATTGGTAAAAAACTTCAATATAAATAAAATTTCATGTGACAGTTTGGACAAACAATAACATAACCAAACTAAATTTGACTTCTTAAACAAGGAAAGAGACTGTCTATCCTTGTCTAAAGTGGCCTCTCAAGATGGCACTTCCTGTCTATCAATATGTTTACCCCCTCTACCTTTACATTCCCTCTTTTGTCTTATTGGTCGATGGGTGTAGGCCACAATAAAAAAATTTTGAACGGAGTTGGAATAGATTTATCCATAAAATTCTTGTGTAAATTCGAACTTGTCTCAGTATTAGAATCTGAATGATTCATGGATGGCGGTGTAACTTGGGAAGTTTCCATTTGTTGAAGGTTTTGTTCCAAACGTGAAGAAAGCTGCTGTGACGAGAATTTACCGGAGGAGAATGGATTATGAAATTCCATTTGTTGAAGGTTTTGTTCCAAAGGTGGAGAAAGCTGCAGTGACGAGGATTGACCGGAGGAGAGTGGATTATGAAATTCCATTTGTTGAAGGTTTTGTTCCAAAGGTGGCGAAAGCAGCTGTGACGAGGATTGACCGGAGGAGAATGGATTAGAAGTTATGATAGGAATATCTTCAGCGCCGCTGAAGGACTTTCTACCGGGAGAAATAAATTTGTAGTCAATCAATTCTGTAACATCAACCTCATCGTCATTTGCTTTCTTAGCAAATGTGTTGTTCTCATTTTCAAGTTATCATTGAATTCGTTATTTACAGTTGTTTCCTTGTCGCCCATTTCATTATGAATTTTCACTTCTGTAAATGAGTCATTCGTAACAAAGTCGACCGGAAGTTCATTGGAAGGCTTGTTCGTGGCTTTGACTTTCATTTTCTTCCATAATGAGAATAAACTGGTGTGCTCTACTTGTCCTTCCCAAATTGACCCAGAAAGCTCAAACAATCGCAGCATATCAATTGAGATGCATTCTTCTACAACTCTTAGGGCGACTTGAAATTCTGTAGGTTGTCGTTGTTCTTGTATCTTTTGACAGTTTTGTACTCCCACGTCTTCTTTAAAGTATTTAGAAAATTTAAGATTTTCAACATTAAAAGGCACAAGTCCGTAACCCTTGAAACCACTCTTAACTATATCGGGAATATTTACCATTTTTTGAAAAGTGCTTTCCAAAATAAGTGCAAATGAATCTCTGGTTATCTTTTTACCTTGGTTTTCCATTCTCCACCGATGCACGCTCTTTTTCTATTCACGTTTTAATGATCGAAAGACTGCAACATCTAGAGGTTGTAAAATATTTGTTGCGTTTGGACACAGACCTATTAGAATATTATTATTACTACAAAATTCACTTAGGACCATCGTTAAGTGTGATTTGTGTCCGTCCAAAAACAGTATACTTTTTGGGTATACTGCAGGAAACTGCACTTTTTGAGCAACTAACCAAGGGTGGAATATATTAGCAATGTACTCAAAAAGTTTTCGCCAGTCATCCACCCGTTTTCCAGACTTTCCTATCCCCCAGTGAGGCGGTATTTTCTCGATAACTGATTTGGGAATTCTTGTATATTTAAAAACGATCATGGGTAGTAAAATTTTACCGGAGACACTACAGGTAACCAAAGTTGTCAGACATTCCTTCTCGTCTTTGCTAACAAAGAATAAACTGTTCTATCTCCCTTTCTAACCAACACTTTGTCTCCCTTAGGAGTCAGGAAAAAAGCCGATTCATCACAATTGAATACACGACTAGGATCAAAAGTTATGTTGCGATTGTTTGTACTTTCTAAAAAGGTCCATACTTCAATAAACCATTGACGAATTCGATTGTCTGTTATAGTGTTTCTAGCACAAGTTAGGTTTTGGGAAATGCTTGTAGACATTTCGGGTTGCCTTTTTAAAAATAGTCCGTACCATTTACGTCCAAGTCTACCATCCACAAAATTATTAGGCCTATAAGTTCTTTAAGCAATAGCTGAACACTATCCAATAACTGCGTTTTTGTTGCAGGAAATCCACAGGAAATCCGAAATAGCCGTGCTACCAGTAGGTTTTCTTCTTCTTCCGTTAGTGTGGTCCCTGATCCAGATTTCTTCTCTAAAGAAGTTCTAGCCTTTACTTTATCCTGTAGAGTCGCTCTGGGTACCTTATACAACTTGCTAGCTGTTTTAAATGGCATTCCTGACTGAACAGTTACAACAGCTTTGTTTATATCTTCCGCAGAATATTGAATTCGCTTTTTCTTTTCCATTGCCAATTTCTGAATTGTAGTCTAAAACAAAGAATTTCCAATTATCGGCACGTAAAGGCATGTATTATCGGCAGTGTTATACTCGGTCAATGGCTATTTCTACTAGAGATACGGGATGCCGAAAATGGGTACAAGGAAACAGCATTTGTTATTGCATATAATGACCAAACAAAGTTAAAAGATTACGCTAAAATCAGCTTATATACAGTCTAATGCATATAACCAATTATCGGCACTCCAGCCAATGATTGGATAATCTGCTAAAGTACCTATTATCGGCACCTTCAAACTACTTCAAAAAGCTATAGAAAAACGGTTTTTGGCCAACAAATAATCAAAATAAATTATTTCTCAACATACAAAACATAATAAAACGGTTGGCGCCAACTGAGAACTGACCAATATATTTTTAAATGTGATTGCAGTTTTCGTCTGACAATTGGCATATTTTTCATAGGCGTAGATAAAGGTCCTTATAAATTAGTGAAATACTTTCGTCCAACAATCACGCGCAAGAATTCTTATTTTTGTCGATTATGTAGAATTACTGCCGATAATCGGGGCAGTGTCGAAAACAGAAGCATTTACCTTATCTGGAGAAATTTAATAATTTTAATTTTATAATTGTTTAAAAATATATACCATTATACATTATAAATTTACTGCATTGCAAGTTTTTTTTTAACTATGGTATATAGTCAACCACATTAATTTTCCCTTTTATTAGTTACTAAAGCAAATATCTAGAAATTGATACTTGTATTTATAAAAATGACGAATTGCAGCAAGAACCAATAAAATTTTTAACCATTTGTGCTTCTTCACATTGTTATGCTCATGGTGCATGCATTAATGGTCAAGACTAATATCCTATAATCATTTTCAGGCCCATCCATCTACAATCGCAAGGGGTACGTCAAGAGAAAGTTTTTGTAGCTTAATATCAGAATAAAGTGTTCAATGGCATCTTCTGAATCATTACAAAGACTGATTATATTAGAAATGTAAGATGAAATATTATATTTTGTACTATTTATGAATTTTTATTATATGTATACAAGTATTTGTTTATATTAATCAAATTAAAGTATCTTGTATTTAAAATTTGGTCTCTTTATTAGCCTAGAGTATTAGATATTCTGGTACTACCAATTAGTTCCTATGAAAAATATGTCACGCAATGTGAATGAAGAGAGAGAGAGAGAGAGAGAAAATAGGCGTTAATGCTTCTGCTAAACCCTTTCCCACAGTACTACTCATCATGGACTGACTTGATTCACTCGAAAATATCAATTAAAGGTAGCAGGTTCACTTTTTAGGATTAGTACATAAAAATAGGATAATATAAAGAAGCTTTATTAAAATAAAATATTTATAGTGTACAAATAAAGATATTTACAAAAGTTTAGACTGCATTTGTATTGCAGTTAGGTCCAATATTCTCTTTGTTGAGCTTTAGGTGACTGTGTCATTTCTGGCATTTTCTCTTTAGAAATCAAATTATATTTCCTCATATATTCCAAACTAGCCAAAGAAAACTCGGGTCTCGGTTCTAGGATTCCTCCACATGGTTCATTTCTCAGTCGTTCTTGTAGTTTATCTGATGGTAAGTACTTATTTAACAGTTGTTTCCCAGCAAGACTCAGATCAGATGGAGTTCGGCCACTCATACCTTCTAAACCACACTGATCGTCAATTGTTACTCCTAAACTCTTTAAATGTTTCAGAGTTGCTTCTTTCACTTTGTTCAAGGTCTTGTTTCGACTCTTTTCCCCTTCTGGTCCTTTTTGCCTAAAATCATTTGTTTGTATGTGAGCTCTTTGTAAAATATTGTTTACTTGTCCCATTAGATTATTATACAGTGTTGTACCCATTTCTGTGGACGATGATTCATCATCAGAGCTTTCGTAATCATCCATGTTGATGTTGATGCTCGGCAATGGACTGGGACATTCCTCTCTCACCATTAAGGGTTCCTGGAAATGTATTGATTGAAGTAGATCGTTGTCGTTTTTTGTAGACAAGTCTGATTCTGTTAACTCCTAAAAATAATTTAATCAATCAATAAAAAACACTGGAAAAAAGCATAAACATGTAATTAGGAAGTTGCCAACCATATCAAAGACCAGTGATAACGATATAGAATCTTTTTATTCGTCTCTGAAATACATTTCAAACTAAAACATTAAAACAAACTAAGAACTAGAGAAAATATGGGATGAAAAATAGCAGTAAAAGATTGAATTAAATAATCATGGGAATAAACCAAATAGGAATAAAAGAACTTCTAAGAAAGGAGGTAATAAAAAGCAACTGTTATGGAAATAGCAGAAGGAAGTGGTTTGAGATATGCTTAAAGTTGGTTTTATGAATGATGTAACCGAAAGAACTCTAATAATCTAATAACTATCACAATTGATTATCTAGATTGAAATCTAAGCAAAATAAAATTATTCCTTACTTGAATTTTTGGTTCGTTATTAATAAAATTCTGCTTTGGTTGACCTCGTAGAGGCATATCAAAACTTGTAGTCAAATTAATAGAAAATTTTGAAGTTCCCCATTTCCTCTGGTTATCCTGATACATACTAGCCTGTTGTGTTATTGTATTTTCTTGCCTGAAGTGATTCTTCTGGGGTGTCGATATATGACCATATTTCTCAGAATCAGCAATTTTTTTATCTTGATCTGAAGATGCCTCTATGGGTTTTGAATAGTTCCTGTCTCTTTCTAATAGCATGGCCACCTGTAATTATAATTAACTCTAATTGGTGTAACTAAATATTCAGCAAACTTAACAGATTATAGTTCAATTTTATGAAATGGAAGATATATAGAACAGAATAAAAGCTTAGAACCATTGAGAAGAAATCCAGCAGAAATACATTATAGAAATGAATGGTAAGTTATGATAATTTATACAGTGCAGAGACTAAAGGAAACATTAAATGGAGGAATATTTTAGACATTTAGTTGATTTTACTACCTAGTTTTTAAAGCCCCTTAAAAGGTGCTTCAATAAAATTGAACATTATTTTCTAATTAGAGGGAATACCTTCCTGCCCTGTGATAGGGATTTTGGTGTCATAAAAAGATAAATTTGACAGAATATTTGAAATTCATAAGTACTCAGAAATTATTGTTAATTCAAGTACCAAAAGCAAGTTTACTGTAAAGGAAGTTCAAACTAGTGGGATTCTTGATTTTAAGCTATGGTGGCCTGAGTATTATAACAAGACAAGCCTGTCCATTGAATCTAAACAAATAAATGTTCCTTGATCTCAAAAAACTCGTTTTGCAATTTTGACCTTAACCATTATGTATATAGCTCCAGAACTACAGGTTATGTAAGGGAATAGGAATATATTAATAGCATTTTTGGTGTTAAATCACTTCCATTTGGCTTTATCAAAATGCAACAGCCAATTTAATATCTAATGGCAAAAAAACCCAACATATCCTGTAGACATGGTGCCAATTTTGAAAACAAAAATAGGCCATTTGCAAAGCCTTAACCAGTGGTTACCAGAAGATCAGCAAAAGACTTTTACGTCAACATAATAAATTCCTGGAAGACCAAGAAATCCAAAACCAAAGCATCTTAATATGAATTGCTTTGAGATAAGTACATAAATTAGAACTTTGGGGCATACATTTACCTGTTTTTGCAATATTAGTAGCTGTTCATTTTGCTGCGCAATAATTTTTAAAAGATCTGAGTTATTAAGTTCTCCATTTCTCCTGTTCTCCAAAGCTTTAGATTCACATACATCTTCACAATTTGTTTGAGTCTCCATATTACACTTTTGGCCCAAAGGCTGTACATATGAAGGTTGAAATGGTAGTAATGTTTGAACAGGTGTATTATAAGCCCCTGTGTATTGTTTAGTTTGGGGTTGAACACTTTCGTGATATGCTTGGCACTTCTGTTGAAAACCTGTATCAAAAACTTTGTCATATTTCTCCTGGAGTCTACTATCACTATTATTATTTGAAATCTGTCCAATATTCTGCTGAAATAAAGGAGTAGTATTTTGGTTATTAGTAGCAATATTTTTTTTGTAATTAAAAATATCAGTTACAGAATCATTGTGTATTTTTCTTTTAGGAGCAATTTTTTTCTGTAGTTCTAAAAAGTGTTGGTATGATTTTGGCATTGTGTTTTCTTTATTTTCTGCTGCCTTATCTTCTGTATTGTTATCACTATTCTGTTGAACTGTCTCGTCTTGTATATTTTTATGTGATACATTTTCATATTGTTTCTCTTTGAGATCCTTATTGGATGGAACTGTATCACCAATATTAATTTTGTTAATAGTATTAGCTACTCGTGGAACGTCGATAATACTTAAATCTAATTTTCTATCGGGAATATTTGCCATATACATTTGTTCGAAACTATTTGGATTCCTACAGTCCTCTCTATTTTGTTTCCTTATTGCACTAAAATTTTGGTAGCTGCAACCAGCTTCTACACTACAATAGTCCACATTTTTTGATAAATATTTTTGGGATTCACCATGTGTTTGCTGAGATACAGGACTTTCAAATCGTACTTGCTTTTTGGCAAATTCTGCTTGCAAATGTTTGTAACCAAAAGGCATAAAACTCTGTTGATCCCGTATAGGCATGTTATCTAGATATTTCTCCATTCCTCTTTGTTTCATTTTCCAAATATTTTCTTGAGAACAAAAATTGTCAACAGTGGTTCTAGTATTACTAATCATGGAAACTTCAGGAACAATTGGTGAATAAATATATTTATCAATTGGCGTTGGTTCTGGAACTGTTGCTACAGGATCGAGGAAGGACTCCATTGTTTAACATAAATCATAAATTATAAACGTTAACGACAAAAATTAAAAGAATTGTAAACAAAATTCAAATGTTTGACAGAAGTCAAATTAAAGCAATAATTCATCTTTTGCTTATTAAATAAAGTGTCTTATAAATATAATTTCCAGCCACTAGCTCATTTGTAAAGAAGAATTCACGGACATAGTTAACGAGTGGATTGACATTGTTGGCATATTTTGTATGCTTCAAACATAAAGAGAGAAAGATTTAAAAAAATACATTTTGATTATATTATCAATTCTGTTGAGTAGTTGAGTTTATCGAAAGTACAAGCTGAATATAGCGCAAATTTTAAAAATATTTTGGCTTGACAGTGTTGGCATGTTTTCATAATGCGTATATTGTATGCTTCAAATTTCAAATATAAAGAGATAAAGCTTTTAAAAAGTACATTTTGATTTACTATTTTATGAATTCTGCAATTTTTAATTTATATGAAGTAACGAGTAGATATTTGTCTCTTTCTACATTTGTAGCATACTACGTATACATTATAAAAAACATGCCAACACTGCCAAACCGAAATATTTTGTTCCATGATTGACATTTGCGGCTATATTCTGGTTGCCTTCTCGTTAACAATGTCAGAATTCACAATACATAACCTAAGTTTATAGAATTAAATGAACTGATTTAATTCATTAATACAAAAATGAATATTTTTAAAAGGGCCACTGTCGAACTTATACAACATGTCAAGATTTACAATTTATTTCAGTCGACTCAAGTATACAGACCAGTAACTTCCTACAAAAGTGCGATATCACTAGAACATTTATATCCAAACAGTACCTTAAAAATAACAACCCCTCAGGTGAGTACATATACAATAATTGATATTACCAGATATTTTATTCGACAGTGTGTTTTAGCCTCCAAGCAGTACAAATGAATTTACTGGATATATCCCCATGGAAGAATTAGATATTAGTTATAGCAGAAGTAGTGGTCCTGGGGGACAGAATGTAAACAAAGTAAATACCAAGGTGGACGTACGATTTCATTTGCAATCCGCTAAATGGTTGAATGAGAAAATTAAACAAAAAATGGCTGAAAAGGTAAAGTATTTAAATCAAAACAGCCAAGTATTTTTTGTTTTAAAATTACCAGAGTTTATTATTATGTATGTATTCATTTCACTTTTCTTTTAGTTTAGTACCCAATTAACCAAAGAAGGATACCTAATATTCAGATCAGATGTTACAAGATCACAACAGTTAAATTTAGCCGATTGTTTGGAAAAAATTAGGAAGGCTGTTAGAGGGGTATTGGTGGTTCCACCAGAGCCTAGTGTAGAAAGTCAAGAGAGGGCTAGACGACGACTAGAAAGGGCTGCCAAAGAAAGGCTGATGATTAAGAGAGAAAAATCGGAAGTAAAATATTATAGAAATGATTCTAATATTGTAGTTTAGTGAATAAATTATTTTACAGAGATGGTTACAAATGTATAGTTATTTATTTAAATGATCAGAGTTTTTTTTATTTAAACAAATATACCCACATCAACCACTAATAGCTTAGTATACATTGCTGATATTAATATATACATCTATGGGTGAATGATTATTATTTGGAGCCGCAATACCAAATACTATGTCAGTATACCGAATCAATGTGGAGTATTTTTGGATCTAAAAATTTCTATACAAACCGGTTTTCAGAGTTTTTATTGTCTTCCTTTCTTTTTTGTGTCTAGTAGAGCGCATATGTCTATTTTTTTCTCTATCAGCACTTTGGTTATTTCTTGGTCCCTTGAGTTGAGCGATGTGACATTCCACTTCTATAAAAATCGTAGAAAAATAAATACATACACCATTTTCACTACTTGCGGTGAAATTTAAGAGCATTGTTGTCGCTTTTACAAAAATCACATAAAAATAAATAAATACAGCCTTTTCACTTTGCGCAAAATTTTTTATTTTACTTTGCATTGTTCCTGCTTTTACAAAAATCGCAGAAGAATAAAATAAATACATTTTCACTATTTCCATTCGCGCGAAATTTATCGTTTAACCAAAGAATATAGACGCTTATATAAGCGTCAGTATATTCTTTGGTTTAACAGTAGGTCCAAATTAATTCAGCTTCAGCGCAGTGTTGTCACTTTTACAAAATTCGCATAAAAATACATTTTGAATAGTTGGCGCGAAATTTCAGCGCATTGTTGCCGCTTTTACAAGAATCACAGAAAAATAAATACGGCGCGAAATTTGTTTAACAGTAGGTTTAAATGAATTCAGCTTCAGAGCATTGTTGTTACTTTTATAACAATAGCAAAAAAATTAATATGGCATTTTCATTAATTCGTGCGAAATTTCTAGTTTAAAAGAGGGTCTAAAACAATTCAGCTTTAGTGCATTGTTGTCACTTTTACACTAAATTCGCAGAAATATAAATAAATACCACGTTTTCACCAGGGCTCTGATTCTATTTCATTTGATGTCAAAATTTAAAAGCGACTTTCGACATTCATTTCGATTTTAGTTAAAAGTGGGGATATTTACTTTATCATTTTGACACTGCTCAGAATTTGGGTTTGCCATCTTGTTTATTGGCTGCACAACGCTTGTTAAATGTTTGTTTTGTTTACGTTACACCTTTTGTTTCTTGAGTTGTTAAATGTTTAGTGGCCATTCTCAATTATTATATTTTGAATTGAAAGAAAATGGATGGAGAGGCTGTCAGTGATGGTGGCACTAAATTGTCTGTGGACCAAAAAGAAATTATGGTGGCTTTTGACTTAGTGGTTATATTCTAATATATTTTTAAATTTACTGCAGCTTAGTAATACTTACCCTAAACATTTTGGGTCTCCTAGAGGCACAAACTTCATTAGAATACAAAGATTGCAATGGGCCGGACATGTGATACGAATGGGAGAGGATAGGCTACCAAAACGAGCACTGAACGCCAGAATGCAGGGAAAGAGACCAGTTGGAAAGCCAAGAAAGCGCTGGGAAGACACAGTAAGCAGCGACGCACAAGCACTTTTAGGAGTCCGTGTATGGAGAAGAGCAGCCACAGACAGACAAGGGTGGAGGCAAAAAATAAAGGAGGCCAAGGCTCATTTTGGGCTGTAGTGCCGTAGAAGGAAGGAAGAGGCACAAACAACCTCCTCCAAATATGGTTCTAATATACTTATCAAATAATTGGCAGCTTGTTTATTAAGGCGGAATTACTGCCTAAATTGAGCATCACTTAGTGAAAAAGGATTTTGAGTATCCCGTAACATTCTTCTTATCCTCCGTTGTGAGCGTCGGATATCTATCCTCTCTAATACCTCCAAAACCAGCAAATATCCATAAAACGCAGCCATATTAATACTTTTTGCCTCAGTTTTTCTTGCAAGAATCAAACAAAACACAACACCGCCTAAACTGAACCTAATCTCACTACTCCCAGTCCAGCCAGTCATGGCACATTAATTTCGACTAGAAATGAAATGTCAACCACTTTCTTGATGTTGAAATTAATTTCGATAACTCGAAAATTAGTGACGTCCTTTGGTTAGTTCAGCTGAAATCCACTAGGCTCGCAAAGTCGCATTTCGACGTCGCCATATTAATTTCGACATGTTTTGAGTCAAAATCTCAATTAGAATCAGGACTCAGTGGTGTCATGGCAAAATTAGCAGCGCCGGAACGTAGTTTCCTTAACTTTTTTACAAGTAAAATATTACCCTATGTTTTTTTAATACAAACTACGTCTCCATATTTTAAAATGTATATGCATTTGCTTAATTCAAAAATATTTAAATTCTGGAATTGTTGCTTTTTTATTTTATTTTAACTGCGAGAAAAGAAGACAACATAGCCTAATTTAACAATTGGTTAACTCCTGTTTTGGAGACACAAACGTAACCATTTATTGTAAAATTAAACCACACAATTATAATAAACCAGTTTTATTATTTACATGACAATATAACGTAGAAACGAAAGGTGGTGTTCAACATACAAAGGAAAGTGTTTCGCATTCCATCAAAATTAGAACATGTGAAGATTAACTTAAGAAATTTTTACAAAAACTGAACAAATGAATTTTTTTATCCCGAAGTTTTGAGGTGCGTGTCATCTGCTGTCGGTGTCTCCTCAACCAGGTGTTCACATAGAGTTCCACATTTCACTCGTTTATACTTGGCCCATGTTGTTTTATAAACATAAGACTTGAAACATGTCTGGTTAAGAGTCTAGTTCGCAAATCAGTCATTATCTGGTTCATGAGACTAAAAACCCATTCACATTCTGACGAACTAAATAGAATCAGTTTAGTGCAGTTGAACAACGGGCTTTTGGTACTCTTGAAGGTGAATTGGCCTTGATATAATCTCGAAAGCAGTTTGTTATTTTGATTTTGTTTTGCTGAAACCTTTTGCAGAGATTTTGAATTTCTTCTTCCCCATATCGTACTGATAAGTTTTCAGTACTTTTAAATCAGATAGAAGAGAATCATATTGTTGCTTACAGTTTGAACAGGCGCTTGATGTCGACCCATGACTGGATTTAATAGTAATCATTCTTCTAATTAAATTGTTTATTACAGTTGTTATCAGTTGTTTGTGGTTGATGGTCGCAATTTTTAGGTAAACCGTGTTCGGACGAAGTGAGGTGAGAGAAGTACAGTCTAGTTTTCGTGCCGTGGCCGTACTCTCTGGTTTTCGTGCACTAGGCAGTAGTAGGCCTATAATGATTCACTCGGAGGGCGGATTCAATCGTTGTACTGTATTGAAATATAGAGAGCGTTTTCTATAATCCGTGTTTTATTTACAAAACCTAAATTCTCTATTTATTTTTTTTTCTTTTGTTAGCCTGTGAAAGAACGGCGTTCCGGCACTATGACACCACTGGTTTTCACTACTTCGTTCGAAATTTTTCGTTTAAAAGTAGGTCCAAATAAATTCTTTTTCAGCGCATTGTTGCCGCTTTTACAAAAATTGCAGAAATAAATAAATACCACATTTTCCCTTAATATTTATTTGAAAGCATTATGATTATAACATCAATAAACTTATCTAAAATAATATCTACAACTTTATTTTTATACCAGACTACACGAAAAATTAAATAAAGAACTTAGTGACTTTTCAGTTTACGTTTCTGTAGGAAGTTACATAACATGGGGAATTCTATCATAATGTTACCAATATGATACAATTACATAAATAATTATATACCTTTTTGGTATATAGTACTGCAGTAAATTGCGTAAAAAGGAAGAGATAATATTTGTTTAAAATGAAGGTTCATCTATTTATTTAATTGCAGTCCTGTTTTTTTAGAAACCACACAATAACGATCTAGTCATTTTACTTTCGAGAAAGAAACAACGAATAATTAAAATATTATTCAGATATAACAGTAAAACATCTACACACAATGGTTTGATATTGAATCTGCTTTAGAGAAACTTCCATTCACGCCAAGATGCGTATGAGCTAAGTGGATAGTGCTAATGGTGAATACATCAACTACGCCAAAAAAAAGGAGAATAAAAGACTAAACGAGTGGAATAATCTGCTCAATGATGTATTCTCATAATGTAATATTTGAAATCTACATAAACATTACTGATCAACAATATCACATTAGGACATAATAAGTTACTAATTTGGTGAAACATTTTGAATGTCAAGAAATCCAAGACTGATGTGTTGATGCGGATCACTCAGTACACAAAATATGAAAATATCGAGCACAGCAACTTTCATCGAGGCTACCATTGAAGTAATACTCTGAACATCAAACCGGTGTGTAGACATTTTTCGGAATCTTTCTCAAAAACGCTTAATACGAACCATAAATTACTTTACTATTAATCTCTATCCCTATCCCTTTTTTTGTCGCTTGAACTCGAATGGCGCGAGCGGGATCTGCGACTGCGATCGCGGTCACGGCTTCTAGACCTGTAAAATAAAAAGAGAATGTTAGAGATTTTCTAAATAACGAAGTTATAGAAATGAAGTTTATGTCGTTACTGTCACTTGTCGTTATGAAAACGACGGTATGCATTTACCATTACTTTGTTTGTACTGTAATAACTTTCAACAGTTTTATATGTAACATTTACTTTCCATCTAGTTACTCAGATATTATATAAAGATTTAAAAAGATTTATTTAACAGATACCCCTCCTCGAATCATCGTAGGTGATTTTAATAGTCATAACTGTATTTGGGGTTCTAAGCGTACTGATCACAGAGGAAAAGTTTGGAAAAGGTAAAGCAGGACCTTCAATTCAATTTTCTAAATGATGGATCACGTACAAGATTTAACATCTGCACTGGAGAATCCTCCATAGAGTGATTTAAGCTTGTGTGATCCAGGTCTAGCTCCACGTCTCTCTTGGACTGTTCTCGAGTATACTTATGGTAGTGACCAGCATCCTATTACCATTAAGAATCTTTCAGGTAAGCCTTGTCCAAATGGAATATAAATTCTGCGTTGGAGAATCTCATACTGAATGATATGAATGAATATAAATGATTATTTAGGTTCTTTTAATAGTGTCATCTTTCAGAGTGCGGAGCTCTTCATTGGGAAAACAAAGCTAATTGAAAAACATGTTCCTTGGCCTTGGTAGAATTAGGAGTGTAACGAAGCAGTACGTGTCAGCAGAACAGATTTTAATAGATTTAAGAAGCATAAAACGCTCAAAAATAAAATTAACTACAAAAAGTAAAAGCTAGAGAAAAATATACTAGAAGCCGAAAGGTCTAACCTCTCTCTTCTCTTGAAAAGTACAACATTCCATTAAACGGTCCTCTCACGTTACAAGAACTAAACAACTCACTTAACATTTTAAGGAAAACAATTCCTAGGCCTGACAATATCATATTCTCAACTATTTTCTTAAAACACCTACCCACGTCTCCTAAAAATTACATGCTTCAATCATTTAACTTCATCTATCAACGACACCAGTACTCATCTGTTTGGTCAAAATCTATCATTGTTCATTTCTCAAAAGCCAAAAATCTCGACTAGCTGTCGGGGAACCGGGGTAAATTACCCCAAATGGGGTAAAAATGAAATTTTTGAAGAATTTTTGAAAAAATAGAATTCCTTAATTACGCTTTTACACAAATAAAAACAATGGTACAATGAAACCACAGTGTGTTGTATGTATGAAGGTACTGACTTCAAAATCTTTCAAAAAAAGTCAATTGAAGAAACATTTAGATAATTTGCATTCATACCTGTCTTCCAAACCGCGAGAATACTTTGCAAATTTAAAATATCTATTAAAAGACAAAGATTGAATAGCAACTTGTTTTAGTACATTTGATCAGCGTTCAGAATCAAGGGCTAACTTTGAAGTAGCCTAGCTGATTGCCCGAAATAATAAACCATACACTATTGGTGAAGATTGGGTTAAACTAGCTGCTGTAAAAATTGCAGAGATTTATGTGTGGTCAAAAAGAAGCGAAGAAACTGAATTCAGTGTCCTTGTCTGCGAGAAATGTGAAAGAACGAAATTCTATATTAGCAGAAAATGTGAAGAAACAGGATATTTTCGCATTAAAACAGCCTAAATATTTTGCTATTCAGATTGATGAGACAACTGATTTTAGTAGCAATTCACAGCTAATGGCCATTATTTCGTGAATTATGTCAGGACGGTAAAGATATTGACGGTAAATATATTGACCTACTTTATTATTACTTATTACAGCAGTCAGGTGACTCTCTGGCGGAATGTACTAAATCGAGTATGGACTCTCAAAACTGGTCGAAATTTTTATGGTTAATCAAAAAAATATTCTCACAGATTTAAAAACTCTTCCTGGGTTGCATATCTCGCATATTTAGCAGACATTTTTGGAGGATAAATATATCAAACAATGAATTGCAAGGAAAGAATATTAATATCATTTCAGAGAGAGAAATAGCGTCAGCGTTTGGATTAAAGCTGCAATATTGGAGACAGAAAGAAGAATAGAACAAAGACAGTCAAGGTTTGCTTTTTTTGGAAGATTGCAAAAATATTACTTTTGCTGACAAAGGATACAATTGTAAGACATCTTATCAAACTCACAAATCGGTTTTCAGATTACTTTCTAGATATCGATACACATACTGTCAGTTGGATTGTAGATCCTTTTAAATGTGAAATTGCTATGATACCAGAAGAACCTTCAGGTTTGCCCAGAAGCAATTCTTGAACTTCGATCTAATACTGAAGCATGTATTTAATTTGAGATTAAACCAAATCTGTCGCCTTTGATGTCAAAAGCTGCAAAGGCTTTGCAATTGTTGCCTTGTTGCAAAAATTGTTGCCATTAGGAACAACATATTTGTGCGAACAAGGCTTTTCCACTCTAATGATCATAAAAACGAAGAACAGAAATCGATTAAACGCCGAAGACTGTATTCAAATCGTTCTTACATCAAAAAGTCCCAATTTTGAAGCAATTGTATCGAACATGATCATCATTTCTCCAAAACGTGAAGGAAGAATGGGGTTCAATTATTTTTTTTTTCTAATTTTTTCAATTCTAATTTTTGTTTGTATCACCATTATTATTATTATTATTACAATTTGTAAAAAGTACCCCAAATTGTCAACCCTCAATTGTACCTCAATGCGTTTCAATTTGTTATATACAGTTGAGGAAAAAAAATTCGCTCCCACAGAAAATATAAGTAAATGATAATTTCTTGTTATTTTGTAATTCATATGATATTTTTCTTGTATTATTAGTCTAATAGAGTCTAATAATACAAGACAAATATATGAATTACAAAATAACAAGAAATTATCATTTACTTATATTTTCTGTGGGGGCGATTTTTTTTCAACTGTATATTACATATACATATTACTATTATTACCGTTATGTATTACTAGGTATTAAATTGATAAATTGAATAAATGATGCTTATATTAAATTTTTAGTTATTTTTTTTTTTCAAAATTATCAGGGGAGCTATAATATGAAAGATGCTAAAAAGACGTGATTTCGTTTTTTTGCTCTTCACCATGGGGTAATATCAACTTACACAAAAATATTTTGGGGCAATGATTACAAAAGTTCCCCGACCGCTGCTATAGACCGATAAACCTAACTTGTGCAATGGGCAAGCTACTAGAAAAAATTACCAACTCAAGGCAGACTTGGCAAAATTCAAACTTATAAACAAACAAAATGGTTTTCGACAAAACTGATCCGGGATAGACAACATATTAGACCTGGAAAGTGATATTCACGAATCTCTGGCAACAAAACAACATTGTATCGTAGTATTTTTTGACTTACGAAAAGCATTTAATACATGTTCGAAATAACATTTAAAAAAAGTTACAGTCATGGAATATTCGTGGAAATTGCCTTTATTTTATTAAGAACTTTCTAGAAAATAGATCGTTTCGTGTAAGAGTTAACAACTACTGTTCCGAAAAACAGGAGAAAGAAAATGTGATCCCCAAGGCTCAATTATTAGCCCTAGATTCATCTTAACCCTTTCAGTCACAGTGTCGTCAATTGACGACACAAGAATTTTAACTTTGTTTAAGTAAATATTACAGGATGTTATGGTAATAGCAACAGTGTAGTTATCTCACAACATCCAAAATTAATTAGATTTACGACCCGTAATACAATCTGGTACATTCCAGTTGAACTAAAGCAGTTTTTCTGTTTACATTCACAACAGTTTATGAAAGCTATCGATGCTACTAAAATTATTATATTTTTTTACCCTTCTAAAACTGAGATAAATTCTGTTCTTTTCAAATATTGGAAGCTTCTAGGTGCAAATAATAAAATTAAATAGTAAGTACACTTCAAAATTTCCATAATATGTCAAATCATTTTTTTGAAATTATATGTCGTATAGAAACTAGATTTAGTTCATTTTTGGGCCTATATTGCAAAAATTTTAATTTCATGTCGCATAGGAGCTAGAAAAATAGAGCGTCCGTCAAATGGAACTAAATCAGAACCATTGAACAATAAAAACAATTAGGTAAACCGGCCTATTAATGATGTAAAGTTTGACAGGATAGCGCATTTTCCATTGCATGCAGAAACGAAATCTGAAGATGTAAGCTCCCAGAATGTAAAGGCAGTTCCCGTTTACTTTGTCAAAAATGTAAAGTACATCTATGTTTGACAAAAAATAAAAATTATTTTTTACAATTTCATAAACTGAAATTTTGTTTAATACATATATTATAATCATTAAATCATGTTTCTTTTTAAATAAATAAATGTATTTTTATCCTAACGTATAGCTGTAAAATTATATGTCATACCACAGCCACCTTTACTTCCAAGCCATGAAGTAGAAATTTGGCAACAACGCGTGGTAGTCCGACCGTGGTTTGTTTTGTTTAACATTTCATATAGGAAGGCTTGTAAAGTTTGTTGAATTTAATGTTTTTTTAACTTTATTCGAATGTTTTATTTGTAAATTGTGTTTAAATCAATTAGAAAATATTAATACAAGTGAAATTTCATTAAATTTAGAACTTTTAGAAGATTCTTAACGACAATTTAAAAGGCAAGTATAAATATAACCTACAAAACAAACTGAAAATAATAATACTTTTGCTTCTTGTTACAAAATATGTAAACTAAAAACAACAATAATAATACTTTTGTTTTTGTTTCAGATGCTCTGGCTTTGTTGTGTACCTGGTTGCAAAACCAATTATGCCAGTACTTTAAAAACGAAACAGGCAGAAAGTACGTTTTCGTTTCCCAAAGATCCCCAAAGAAGGTATACTGGGTTATGCTCTATTCATAGAGACGGCTATGCAATTACCAAATCTTCCGTAGTATGTTCCAAACATTTTCATGAAAATGATATTCAGCGGACTGAACAATGAGAAGATAAAGATGGAGAATATACACATTGAAAAGTTAATATTTCCCAAATTAAAAGGCAATGCAGTTCCTAATATATTTTCTGAAGTACCATCATATGTAACTGTTCATCGTACTAAAGAAAGAAGGAATCCCGAAGACAAAAGAAACTTTTTGCATAAGAAGAGGGAACAAGAGATAACATAATTATGACAATTAGACTTAGACAATAATATCCCATTGAAAAACTGGACAAGTAAAATTACAAGTGACTGTGTATATTTCTATGTATTAAACATTAATCAGTTGGGATACAAGTGTGATAATATTTGTGTAATACATAGTGTAATAGTTAGCAGTAATTTTAGTGTAATAGTTAGCAGTAATTTTAGTGTAATCATTAATGTAGGTAAGAATAGATTAAGTAGTAAGTAATGATTTGAAATGGATTTTACAATATAGTAAATTAACAAGATGGTCACAATTAGAGAACTTACTTTCTCATTTAGATCTGCTTTTTAGAATAAGTGATAACAAATTTGAGTATTACATTCAAAAATCTTTTGAGAATATAGGCTATTTTAAATCGATATACAAGTTATAAATGGTATGTTACATTCAACACATTTTTCATGTATACTTCTCTTAACTTGGTCTATATAACAAAAAACCTATTCATATTTAAAATTGCTACTGTCGTATACCTAAGTATGAAAATTTAACAAAATTTATAAGTAAATAGCAAAATATTTAATTGTTAATTAGATTAATTTAGAACCATATTTATATTGTGTCTGATTTCTTAGGATGAATTTTTAATCATAATAGTTACACTAAGTTTTTGCTGAACAAATTTTATATCTTTTGTATTTTTAATAATCTTTTTAAATGTCGTGTTAATGTATTTTGTTATTTATATGCTTAAGTACTTAATATTTAAAATTTCTAGAGATTCTTGACTGCATTTGATTGTAAGTTTGACACTGTATTTTAAGTGCAATAAATTTTACTCTAGTGATTATTTTATTGATAATATAACCTAAATAATAATAAAACTTTATATATATATATATATATATTTATTAGGTAAATATAAGGTTTTATTAATTTAATTTCCCTAAAAATAATTCTGTAATGAATTGAAGTTTTCAAAATATCAGTTTTCTAAAATTCAAATTAGTTTAATTTTCTGGTAGACCTTACAGCTGATTATCGGACTACCGACGTCATAGAATGCGGTGTTGCCTTTTTTACTTCATGGCTTGGAAGTAAAGGTGGCGGTGGTTATATTCATTTGTAACCAGTAAGTCACAATGTCGTTAATTGACGACATCAAAAACGGGCCTTATTTTAATAAAAAAATGGTAATATTCTTACCAAACGACGTTAAGAATACCATAATTGGGTAGGAATTATTAACAAAATATTTTTCATTGCAATAAAAAAATGCGTGACCGAAAGGGTTAATCGTCATTAATGACAGTTAAAAACCTCAAAAAAATCTTTAAAAGCACGTTTATATGCAGATGACTTGGTGGTTTATGTAAAAGGCAAAGATATTAATTTAGGTTCAAAAGCTTTCAAAAATTTTTTACAAAAACTCGAATAGTGGTCTCGCGATATTGGTTTTCAATTCTCGGTTAAAAAACTGTAGGTATGGTGTTCTCAAAAAAGAACTTCTCAAATAATCCCAATTTCAAGTTTTTCAACATATCGCTATCCTTCAAATCATGTGTGAAATTCTTTGGAATGTGGTTTGAAAATCAAAATTACTCGAAAAAACACATTATTCAAATAATATTGACTTGTAATAAGAAACTTAACTTATTGAAAACATTGTCAAATAGATACTGGGGCTCTGATCGCTCTACAGATCTACATAACTCTAATTAGATCAAAAATTTATTATGAATCAATTGCTTAGGCCTCTGCTTCCCCAATATTGTTAAAACAGCTAGGCTTTATATACAACACAGCACTTAGACTGTCTCTTGGAGTATTCATATGTGGAAAGTTTATATTGTGAAAGTAGGAAGCCTTCATTACATCACCGCCGAATTTCCGTAACACTGTAAAGATATAAATCTCTTTACCAATATTACCAAACATAAGCCTAAGATAAGAGAATAAGCCTTACTATGAGCGAGGACGATGTTGCCTAAGATGTCTCGACATCGAATTATATATTTATTTTTTCTTCTTTCGGTTTACTATTTAATAAAAATCCAAGATACAACTTACCTCGACCTATATCGACTGCTTCTACTTTTATCCTTATCTTTACGCTCTCTGTCTTTGCGATCCTTCGACCTAGATCGATGTCTTTTAGATCTTCTGTCCAATTCTCTACCACCGACATAATGTTCTCTGTATCGTCTATCGTAGCGATCGTCTCTCTCCTCGCGATCTCGGTCCCTACCAGATTTTTTCTTTTCTTCCTTACGTTTTTCCGAATTTTTCTAAACAAAAAAAAAATACTGTCTAAAATACTATGCTACTAAAACAAGTAAGTAATATGCTTTTGAATATAATGTAATCGTTTGATAACGAAACAGTGTGTCCCTAAACCTAATAGGATCGACGTAAGATATGAAATTGGTTTAAAAATGAAGAATTAAAGTAAATGAAAGACTCGTCTGAAAGACAGTGACAAAGCAAAATATTGGATCTCAACTGGTACTTCAAATTTAGAAATGTAAAAAAGTTTCAAAATTTTTTTTTCAGTGATAACAAATACCTTCTGACAGGTTCTCAAATGTCAAATCTGTCAAAAATTACTATCATTAAGACATACACATACAATAATATATATGTCTTGCATTACTTGAGATAAAAGGAACATTTTGTAATAAGTATTCTTAAAAATGAGTGCTTCTGAACGATGTGTAACATATGAGTATTTTTAAAGAGCTTACCTCTAATTCTGCCAGTTTTTCTCTGATTTTGATGAATCCTAGATGAAGTTTACCACCGAAATGATCCGCTAACCGTCGGTCATTATCGTGGATACCCAGGTAGGCTGAACACACTTCACATACTCGCAATTTTTGTTGTTGGTAGCTACTGGCTGGCATCGAGTTGCGGTACTCCTGTTCAGCGTCTAGCTTCTTTTTCCTTAATTCTTCTACCTTAATAAAATAAGATAAGAATTAGACATTTCAAGAAGTATATGTAAACCTGATCGATTTTCAAAAGTTTTATCTGGCGTTTTACCTTATGAGAATCATTTTGACGTGAGTTTTTTTAGAATAACGAAGAAGAAGAAAGTCAATCAACCAAGATGTTATTTCTACTTTGTATTAATCAAAATTAAAATTAATGCATAACAGAAATATCCGAAATAGCAATCAGCGCACACTTGAGAAATGACAAAGACAGTAATTTACGAAACGTTGCCAAATTATTTATGTTTTATGAAATGTTTTGATACAAAATTTTCAAAACGATATAAAGATAAATTTATTATGAGTGCAATAACGTTACCGGTTGATTTTTTTTTAAATGGATGTTAACGCTGAAAACAGCGTGGCCCTGAGTCTAATCTCTTCGATTTGGGATGCAAATCCCAATAGTTTCAGCTACTTGTAGCACAGTCATGGACGTATAAACATAGATGGACACAGCAATAAGACATCTTTAACACACAATGTTTTGAAGCTTCGATAGAATGTGATGCTTTCGCAATGAGCATAAACGTGCTTGAATTTTTACTCGCGGGTAATTATTCAGATTTTAAAAATTGGAAGTAGTAATAATGTATAAAAACACGTTCAAAGAATTTAAAAAACGAGAGTTTAACTATTAACAAATCACGTCTTTATAGAAAAATTAAAATACAATTTTATTTGCTTTAAAATTAATACAATTAAATATAGTTGAATTCAAGTTAATTTTTTAATAGTGTCAAAATAATGCTACAATAAAAAATCTTTATGTTTTCTCCTTAATTTGCTACCCAAATAGTTCGATCGTCAATATTATTTGGAAACCTACATAGAAAAATAAATGAGTTTTATTCATTTCACTAATTTACTTGTATCCATGAGAAATATTAAATTAAAAAGGTACTAAACAGATCTTTTTTAATCAGATGATGTCTAGTTACAATTTATAAATGTTTACTAATTTCATGAACTCATATCTTATTCAATACATTAATGAACATGAATAAACCCAATGGTAGGCCCATTAAAATGTAAACAAAAACGCTTCCTCATTTCCTCATCTTAAATAATGTAAATTGTATGTACTTACAAATGAAATGAGAGATCGGGATGTAAATATTTCGTTTATTTTATTTCACTTTTCACAAATATCACTCAAAATACAGCCAAAATATCGAAAAATAACTTTTTCCTCATTTACTGTAAAAGTAAACAAACATTAAACAGCATTTGAAGTTTGACGTAGATCCATAAGACAGAGAAATGTAAACAATCGTTGCCATTTATAAATAGTTTTCAGTGCTTCTACATATAAAATAATTGATTGATATCTATTATACGCTATTATTAAATGATAATGCACACTATGTGCACACTTGATATTTTGATTACAATTAAATATATTAATATAACCAATAAATTATTATTTTGATTTGATAGCACCTGTAGAGTATAAAATACGGAGTAATATTTTCAGCGACTCGCGAATAAGAAATTAAAAAAAAAAACGTGACAACAGTTGAAGGTGCTGAGAATGTGACCTATTCAAATAATTTTGACTTCACAATTTTATGTAAATATCTGAGTCCATCTGTGTTTATACGTCCATGGGCACAGTACAATCATATTTTTGCTTGAAAACTTCGATGTGGGCACAGTTTGTATTTTTCTGTTTGATAATGTAAATATAGGTCATAGGAACGCTTTTACCTTAGTTAGTCGTTTGCACCCCTCCATATTACATGTGTTTTTATTATCGTAACAATCTTATTTTCTCGTCGTTTATTTACAACTGTTTATTTACAATCTACTCGTTACATTCTGGGTATTAAATAAAGTTGAAGATGTTGGCTTGTGGGTGGTAACGATTCACCTTGATTCATCTAACGAGACCATCTGGCTACTGTCTCTTCAGTCTTTCAGTTCTTGCTGGAGCATTGACAAGGGCGTTAATTAGTTCATTGGTGCGGTTTTCTATTTCTATGTTCGTGTATAGTGTCTTTTATAAACAGTATTCACAGGTCTTCATGGAGGGTTTGATTGGATATGTACCAAGCAGCATCTACTCCTATCCTTATCGGTTTGGACTGTTATATTTGTAAGCTTTTTGTGTTTGTACGTTGTGTATATCTCAATTAATTTTGATTTTTTGCCAATGAGCCAGTTCATTTGTTGGGTTTCGATATTTAGTTTTTGATTTTTTGAAAGCACATTTGAAGAGGTGTCAATCAAAATCAATCATGTCCACCTTAAGAAGTTTTAGGGAAATTGCAAAAAACGTATTAGTAAATAACCTTACATGAAAAATCGGATAAATTAGCATATACCATTTTATTTATTGAAATTAACTGACTCTTAGTAAATATTTCAAATCTGAAGGTATAAATAAACCTGTAAATACATTTTAAAAAAAGGACATGTTCTTATTTGATTGGACTTCATGGACGTTGATAGAAGGGGTTGATAAAAAACTCTTAGACTACTTAAAATATCTATTGTATTGTTACAAAAAATATCTTGAAAAATGGCTAACATTAACCAACGACACTTTCCACAAAATATAAATGTTTAAATGTGTAGTCCAATGTCAGGTTCTAGACAATCACAGGATTCGTCCACTTCGTCAGCATCAATTTCGTCGTCCTGGACTTCCACTATTATGGTCTTATACCAAGATAAAAAGTCATGTTTCTGCCAGTCATCACCATACATTTTCACAAGTAACGTCTCCACGTCCTTCTTCTTAGTTGCTTTCACTATATTGCTCAGTGAAAGTGACTCTACAGGAGTTGAGAACGACCTTGCAGAATGCCAGCCTTTTTTTTTGAGGCTTGTTGTAGGTTTCAAAATCACTTTCAAACCTAAAATTCTGTGCCGATTTCACTTTGATAACAGTAAGTTCTTGTCCATTGCGGTTGACAGCTTTCTCTTTCCTCACAAAAATCCTCTTCTTTTCAGATATCATTTCAATGTTTTTAAATCGTGTAGCCAAACTTTTAGCATCAATCAATCCCCAATCCTCTCCAAGTTTCCGTACTTCTCCAACAGAACTATATACATTGTAGTACTCTTCCTTTGTTGCAATGGTAGGCTGCTTCCTGAGTAACTTTTCAACCCTTCCGAAAACCCGATCAGCAGGGAGGAAGCTATGTTAGGGTATGTTAGAACAATCCCCTCTAAAGCATTTTGCACTGATCCTAAGTAATACACTAATGTGTGAACAACGGCATTGTTTTTGTTTTGACTGGCACACCCATCACAGAACAGATTCAGTCTTGTTACATTTGAAAAATTAGCGGAGTTCAAGAAATTTATAAGTGCAGATGAAACTTCGGTCGCACCCCTTCCTGCAATTTTTCAGTCCATAGTCCATAGTCCATAGTCCAAGTGCTTGAATTTGCTGGAGATCAAAACAGAAAGTAACCTCATTTTCTTTGTTTTCCTTTAAGAGCCCATAAAAAGCATTAGCTCTTAATCTGTGTATTCTTTTCTCCATCATAAATTGGTTGACCACTACCAAGTCTTTCACAGCTTTAGCCTTCTCAATTTTCAGCTGAAGATCTATTTTATTGCATGTACTGCAAACGTCAGAAGCTGGTGATGAAAATCCGATAGTTAATTCATTGAAAACTTTCCTAAACATAGATTTCTTAACTTTAAGATTATCAAGTACAGAATCATTGTATATTAGCCACAACTTCTTAATGTTTAAGTCTGCACCAAGATAAATCCTTTTCGATTTTTTTCGATTATAGTGGCTTTCTTTTCCTCTTAAATTTCTCAAAAAAAGGCGGACTGATTCCTTGTTCGCAGCAGATTTGTGACTCTTCCTATCGCCACCCCTCTGATCCTTAACAGCCTTCCCCTCTTGCACCTTTTTAGAAATATTAGTCAATCTTGTTCCCTTCACCATGGTAATATGCTTTAAAGTATAGAATATTGTACACTAAAACTTTTAGCATTTGATTTTTCAGAGGTAGGCCTAGGCCTTCGCCGCTTTATGTTACGTTGATTTATCCAACTGGCAATGGTGTTATCTTGCGTGTTTTTGTCAGGTATTTTGTAGAGGATATTTCGAACAAAAATAGCATCTATAGGCCTAACTAATGCACATTTCATACCTTTGTTCATGTGTTTACATGGAACAAACACACGACATCCCACTGGAGTACTGTATCGCTTAACCTTGGCTCTAGTTTTTTTATCCACAGTCTTTTTATTTTTACGAGATCCTTCATTGGCATCGCCCACTCTCACTAAGTTTTCTTCATCCATGGAAAATTTCAATTTTATTTAATAAAAACTACTATAATATTAAAATTAAACCACTGATCGACATCGTGAGATAGTAAAATCCCGAGACAGTAATATGCAAACCGAATGTCTTTTCTGATTATCAGTTAATAAAGTAATGAGAGAAGACATGAAAATAGAACTTACCTCTCCCATAAGCTTCATGCTTTCATCGACGAATCCTTCTTCTCCCAACTGTTCGGCCTTAGCCAATTTTTGACCAATTTGCTCTGCTAGTTCGTGAACACTGTTAGCTTTTACGGCCACCTCGGCTGACAGTTCTTCTTGGGTTTCCGCCAAACGTTGCTTAGCAGATTCGGTACGTCTGTCGCAATCGCCTATGAACGCTTGCAAATGTTCCATTGCCTGTAATATAGGGTTATGTAACAATTATATATAATTAAGATATAGAACAGAAACATACGACGTAGATGCAAGGTGGAGAACATCAAGAACTGGGTAAGAAATAGAAGAGTAGAATTGAACGATCATATAAGCCGAATGACAACAAATAGAGTAGTGAAGACAAGAGACGGTTCCCCAGTAGGAAGACCAAATGACAAATGCCTGTATTGTGAAATATCGAGCACTGTCTCACACACTCTATTGGTATGCGATAGATGGATAGTTGAGAGGAGCCTGCTTGAGAGAGAGAGAGAGAGAGAGAGAGAGAGAGAGAGAGAGAGAGAGAGAGAGAGAGAGAGCTAAGAGGTAGGGTGATATCAGTCATGGAACTGGTGGAGGAGATGCTTAGGTCGTCAGATCGGTGGAGAGCAGTTCAGAGATATGTGAGGAAAACATTGGAAAGAAAGGAACAAGAAGAAAGGCGACCCGAAGATAATCAGGGTGCCCAGGACCAAGCAAGAAGATAAGGCAGAATGAGCGAGATTTAACATGAATAAGGAGGAATAGTGGGATAGAAGAATTCCGTCGTAGTGAGAAAGTGTTAGAATGCGTGAAAATTGTGCGTGAATGAAAGTTCAGGTGAATGCCGTGCCGAGGTTGCGTTTTTTAGCAGGTAGGTCTCTGCATTGGCGGCGATAGTGTCCGAACAACCGGAGCGAGCGGCCTCGGATATCATCGTGGCCACGCTGGAGGAGTCCTGCACAACCGAGGCTGGGAGGCGGTTCTGCCTGCCTTCTAAGACCGATGTATGTTTCGAACATTTGGATCCCCCCCTCATAAAAGATGAGCAGGAAGACCAAAAAAACGATGGAACGACAACTTACTGGAGACCCGTTGAAATACAGAGTCTCTACATAAAAAGAAAAAGACATATACATATAAATTTGAAAATATCTTTATCTTCCAGAAACAAATGTGTCTATGTTGGCTTATCGTGCAGCAGAAGGCATACATACTTTCTTTTCATCAGATATTGCTGATACATACTCGCCAGAGAAAAAAGGGAGTCCAAATTTCTCACTTTACACATACAAAGTGTGTAAGCTGAAAAAATTGAAGATTCTTATAGACTTGTTTTTTATTTTACACGTGAAATGCAACTTGAGTAGGCGTAGTTTCATTTTTAGATTTTAGTCAAACGAAATCCCAACGGAAACCTACGTGTTTCAATTATTTTCTAAATATGTACTTGCATATAGACGTTTGACTGCCTCACTCCTTGTAAATATTGTCCACTAAGGAGAACAAAAAAAAACAACTTTTACAGCACAAACAACAAAAAAACATATTTTAAGATAGTGACTAATTAAATACACATACAAAATATTAGCAAAACATCATAAAGATTTTTATTTTCAAATTTACGATACAAGAATGTAATATGATTAAATAGGTAGGTAAATTTGTAAGACATTAGCTCGATTAGACACACATCCACGACTTTTTCTCATAAATTTTAGTACTTTTTTTTAAAATAATGGGTATGGATGAGACTAGAAAGTTTTGACCGCGTGTTTTTATAACTTGTAATTTTTTATAATACAAATCTTAAAAAAAACAAAGTTAAATTAATTAGTTCTAACCTCCAAAGTTAAGAAAAAAAATTATATAGTCTACCTAACAGACTGGTGTTGTCTTTCAAAAACTCATTCAAGATTTCGTCAAAAGTGTGTTTTATTAATAATAGAAAAAACAGCGAGGTTCTGACATCTTATTCTTCTTTTTATTTGTCATATATTGGTTAAATTATGGTTCAAATGGAGGAATATGGAGACACCTTTTTTGAAATAACGTGCTTAAAAGTTTATATATATATATATATATATATATATATATATATATATATATATATAAATATATATTATATTTATTATTAGTTATTTAAAAAGAGTTTCTCTTTGTTGCAGATTGTAAGAAATAAGAAGAAAGAGAAAACAAAAGAAAATTTCGGTGCCGAATATAAGAAAGAATGTGTAGCGGCCATCCTAGATGGTGAATCGATAAGAAATGCTGCTAAAAGATTTGGATTAAAATATCAAACTGTTGGTATGTCTAGTGATGTAACAAATGTCATTTTTTAAACATTCGCGAATGCGAATGCTAATATATGCCACCGACATTAGCGAATGCGAATATTCTTTTTTTTTTTTAATTTGGCAATTTTAATTGTCTCCGACACTGCCGGCAGTCTCATTTGCGCGAGGTGTGTAGGCAATTGGAAAAAGTCTGTCATTTTTAACTGCTTTAAATTGTCCAGTATCATTCTATCATATTTGCTAAAGTAAAGATGTGAAACAGTTGTATTTATTGTAAAGAAGTTTATTGTAGGCGGTTAAGTTTATTGATGGGTCGTTTAAAAAGGTATTTATTTATAGTCACGTCGGGGCCAAAAACGTAGAAAGCACGTTTTTCGATCTTATTTTCTCTTGTTATAATCAAATTTGACTTGTTATAGAGAGAAAGTTATAGCAGAGAACTAAGTTCTCTGGTTATAGTTCCAATAAAAATTTCACGGGACACAAGTCACTCCACTTGCCCTGCTCTGCTCGTGCACAAATACAAGTGAATTTTTAGTTAAAGTGTGATTAGCGATTTATTACTATGAGTAAATCAAATTATAGTGAAATTTGGACTTATTTTTCACCACTTTTCGATACTGAACGAGCTAAATGCAAGCTGTGTAATATTCGCAAAACATTCGCACAAATTTTGCGAATGCGAATGCAAATGCGAATATGCAAAAATATGCGAATATTCGCGAATGCGAATATTCGTTATATCACTTATGTCACAGCCACCTTTACTTCCAAGCCATGAAATAGAAATTTTGCAACAACGCGTGGTAGTCCGACTGTGGTTTGTTTTGTTTAACGTTTCATATAGGAAGGCTTGTAAAGTTTGTTGAATTTAGTGTTTTAACTTTATTCGAATGTTTTATTTGTAAATTGTGTTTAAATCAATTGTGAAATTTCATTAAATTTAGAACTTTTAGAAGATTCTTAACGACAATTTAAAAGGCAAGTATAAATATAACCTACAAAACAAACTGAAAATAATAATACTTTTGCTTCTTGTTATAAAATATGTAAACTAAAAACAACAATAATAATACTTTTGTTTTTTGTTACAGATGCTCTGGCATTGTTGTGTACCTGGTTGCAAAACCAATTATGCCAGTACTTTAAAAACGAAACAGGCAGAAAGTACGTTTTTGTTTCCCAAAGATCCCCAAAGAAGGTATACTGGGTTATGCTCTATTCATAGAAAAGGCTGTACAATTACCAAATCTTCCGTAGTATGTGCCAAACATTTTCATGAAGATGATATTCAGCGGACTGAACAATGAGAAGATAAAGATGGAAATGTACACATTGAAAAGTTAATATTTCCCAAATTAAAAGGCAATGCAGTTCCTAATATATTTCCTGAAGTACGTAACTGTTCATCATACTAAAGAAAGAAGGAATCCCTAAGACAGAAGAAACTTTTTGCATAAGAAGAGGGAACAAGAGATAACATAATTATGACAATTAGACTTAGACAATAATATCCCATTGAAAAACTGGACAAGTAAAATTACAAGTGACTGTGTATATTTCTATGTATTAAACATTAATCAGTTGGGACACAAGTGTGATAATATTTGTGTAATATGTAGTGTAATAGTTAGCAGTAATTTTATTGTAATCGTCAATGTAGGTAAAAATAGATTAGGTGGTAATGATTTGAAATGGATTTTTTAATATAGTAAATTAACAAGATGGTCACAATTAGAGAACTTACTTTCTCATTTAGATCTGCTTTTTAGATAAGTGATAACAAATTTGAGTATTACATTCAAAAATCTTTTGAGAATATAGGCTATTTTAAATCGATATATAAGTTATAAATGGTATGTTACATTCAACACATTTTTCATGTATACCTCTTTTAACTTGGTCTATATGACAACAAACCTATTCATATTTAAAATTGCTACTTTCGTATACCTAAGTATGAAAGTTCAACAAAAATTATAAGTAAATAGTAAAATATTTAATTTTCAATTAGATTAATTTAGAACCATATTTATATTGTGTCTGATTTCTTAGGATGAATTTTTTAATCATAATAGTTACACTAAGTTTTTACTTAACAAATTTTATATCTTTGTATTTTTAATAATCTTTTTAAATGTTGTTTAATGTATTGTGTTATTTATATGATTATGTACTTAATATTTAAAATTTCTAGAGATTCTTGACTGCATTTGATTGTAAGATTAACTGTTTGACACTGTATTTTAAGTGCAATAAATTTTACTCTAGTGATTATTTTATTGATAATATAACCTAAATAATAATAAAACTTTATATATATTTACTAGGTATATATAAGGTTTTATTAATTTAATTTCCCTAAAAATATTTCTGTAATGAATTGAAGTTTTCAAAATATCAGTTTCCTAAAATTCAAATTAGTTTAATATTCTGGTAGACCTTACAGCTGATTATCGGACTACCGACGTCATAGAATGCGGTGTTGCCTTTTTTACTTCATGGCTTGGAAGTAAAGGTGGCTGTGCTTATGTACGTTAAGAAGTTTAGGGATAACCCAGATGGCGAACATGATATGAAATTAAGAAACGATACTAGAAAGGTTTTTACTGACAAACAGGAAGACGACCTTGAGGCATATTTAATTAAGTGTTCAAAAATGTTTTATGGTCTTAACAATCTAGAAACTCAAAATCTAGCACACGAGATGGCCAAAATGAACAATATTGACTGTCCTAAAAACTGGGAAGCTCCAAGAATGACAGAAAAGGACTGTCTATACGGTTTTATGGAACACCACCCAAGATTATCTCTCCGTGCTGCTGAAGGATGCAGTATTGCACGCGCAATTTCGTTTAACAAACATATGTGAATGCTTTTTTTTATTAATGAAAAATTAATCAAAAGATACCCTGAACTCTGTGA